CCCCAAAACCCCAAAACCCCAAAACCCCAAAACCCCGTTTTATTATAAACTAATTGAGAAGCAAAAGCTTGCTTTTAAATTATAATAATTTAGCTCCGACAATATGGACATGCATCAGGAAGACTTTAACATGTAAGTCAACTCAGCCTCCATATTTCTGCAAATTAGCAAGCAGAGTGTTACTAATAGAGATATTTGGGAGTTAGTCCTGGAGTATTAGGTCTGTATTGGAAACTACGATCCTCACCCGGCAGTCGAACCGACAGGGTTAAAAATTATATAATGGGGATAGTAATGTCAGGATTTTCTGGCCCTGCTTCAATCTGACTTAAAATTAGGGATTTACGCCCCTCTGGCGAGTTATTAATTCTGGGAAACTGGGGTGTTTCAATAGGCCCTGTAAAGGAATTTATGAAAATCCTTTAGAAAAATACTCAAAGTCTCTTAAAATTTGAAATAGTCAGTATTTCAGTCGTTTTTAACATGATATTTAGCCTTGGGCTCTATGAAGAGAAACCTAGACTAGGTGAACTTTGAATTAGACTCATCACAAATCGTCTCGATACAGGTAGGAATTAATAGTTGTTAAATATATAGGCGAAGAAGAAATCTCTAAAGGAGATCTGATAGATGATAAAAGTATCAATGAAGAGCTCATGGGTAAGTACTGTCTTATGTTAGCAACAGAAGTATCTAAAGATGCAATTAGAATATTTTCTTCTTCTTTAGGCTTACATCCCAAATTATTTTAGAATTTCGATTTCTCATCAAACTCCATAACTCCAAAAATTACAAATTACGACAGTCAGTTAGAGAGAATTTGATAGAACTGTCAGTAAATAATTTCCTCTATAGAAAGTGCCTCCGGGTGTTACAAATCCATCAAAAACCCCTCCATCGCCTCAACCAATGGGGACAAGAAAGGAATCTCAGACTTGGACAGCGATCTCTACAAGAAGATACAGAAGAACCTCTACCGGTGTAACTATCATGCAGAGTGAAGGAAACTATTCTATGATATCCCCTCTCTAAAGAAGCATTTACTCACACATGGAGAAAGACATGTAAGAGTCACCGAACTTACACACTATAGTTCATCTGAAAAGTCAAAGGGTGAGGGAAGAAGTTTCTAGACAATTCAAAGCTCAAGAGGCACCAGCTAGTCCACACCGGAGAGAAGCCCTTCAAATGAGATATCTGAGAAAAGAGGTTCTCTCTGGATTTCAACCTCCGGACGCATTACAGGACTCATACAGGGGAGAAACCCTACAAATGAAGTTACCCAAACTGAACTAAGAAGTTTACTCAGAGCAGTAATCTCACTGCCCATGAAAAAACACATAAAGAACAAATGAGGAATGAGAGTCTTCACTTATTGAGCAATAGTGAAGATGCTGGCTTAGAAGAGAGGAAATTAAAGAATGACAGTGAACATTCTTCTATGAATCAATTGAAAAGTCTTGTTCTGGCTAAAGAGAGTCAAACAACACACTCTAAGGCAAGCTTAATGACTACGAGAGGAGTCAATATGGGGTACACAAAGAGAAAAACAGTCAAATATTTTGTAAATGATTACTCAAACCTCCCCAGAGGAAATGTGTTTGACATTAAGAAGGTTGTGAGGAAGTTTAGCAAACCGAAGAACATCTCTAGTAGTGGTAGGAAGAGGACTAGACAATCAGAAGATGCTCCGACTAGTTCAAAAAGAACTCAACCAAAGCCTGAAGCTCCTTCCCAAAGAGAGAGTCAGAGAAAAGCATTCAAAATTACCAAATCCAATGACAAGAGTTCAAACTCCCAGGTCAAAAATGGATCAAAAAAACCATTAAAACCCTCCAAACCACCTCAAAACCCCTCTAAACCCTCTAAAACCAGACAAATGTCTTCCCTCTCTACCACCTCTAGCCCCAAAACCCCAAAACCCCAAAACCCCAAAACCCCTCATATGATGTGCACACTTGAAACAACATATTATTTGTTTTTCTTGTCTTGATCTTTGGCAATATTTCTGAGATCTTTACCTAAGCCGGTTTTCTCGACAGCTGCATCTTCGACGAATCTGTAAAGTTCTCTATTACAGTAGAACATTGCTTCGACTTGACTGCAGAAGATATCGTGGAGCCAATATCCAGCATTGTATCCATCCTGACCAAGAGAGTTGAGAGCATTCCTTGCTATCACATCTGGTGTTGTTGAATCTGGAGCAACTCTGAATGCAGTTGCGCTTGTGGTAACTGCACCTGGGTAAATATAGAGAAGATCTATCTTTCCTTTGCACTCTTCTTGAAGTCCCTCAGTAAGGTACTTAACAAAAGCTTTTGTGCTTGGGTAAATTGGCACCAAACTATTTGATGCAAGTCCGACACCACTAGCCATGTTGATGATACCTCCTTTCTTTTCCCTGTTCATAAACTTAGTATAAAACATTCTTGTGAAACCAAGGACAGCTATTGCATTTACTTGGATAGTTCTGCTGACACTTGCTGGTGTAGTTTCATGGAATTGATGGTAATCAGCAACACCTGCATTGTTTACGAGAACAGAAATATCATATTCTTTAACTTCATCCATGAATTCTTCATAATGCTCTTGCTTGGTCATTTCACATAGATTGCGTACCTTCATCACGACATCAGCTTTTGGTGCTTTCTCTAAAATCTTTTCTTTTGCTTTTTGTAAGAGCTCGTCAGATAAATCAAGAATAATAATATTGAACCCTGCTTCAGCTAGTTGAATGGCATATTCTAATCCAATTCCATTAGCTCCACCAGTGACAAGCGCATAAGAACCATCTCCATATCTTTTAATAAGATTTAGTCTTTTTCTGATAAAGAACTTATTGATGAAATGTGCTACTGAAGAATAGAACAAAAGGAGTCTCACAAGTCCAATATAGAAAATTGCTGACCACAGACAGTTAAAGCAATAAGCTATGAGTAATGCCACAGAAGCAGAACTTGCAATAATGATCTTTTCATCTACCATCTTTTAATAATTTAGTATAAACTAGTATACGGGGTTTTGGGGTTTTGGGGTTTTGGGGTTTTGGGGTTTTGGGGTTTTGGGG